TCTCTCTGCTCCTCCCCCATTCATGCTCTGTCTCTCTCTGTCCCAAAAATAAATAAAACGTTGAAAAAAAAATTTTAATAAAAAATAAAAAAAAAAATTGGTTATAGAATACTCAATTGGGGTCACCACAGAGTAACTGGTATCAGACTTAAACTACTGTGGTAAAAAATTAAACTCACACACACTTAAAACCTGGACAAAATATATGAAACAAGTATTGTAGACATTAAGCAGTGACCAATACAGGACTGTGATCATTGAGGGGAAGAAGGGCAGCACATAAGGTGAGCTCCACAGTTCACCCAAGCTTTCTCCCAGAGGATATATTCTAGGCCAGAACGTGGGACCATGGAGTAGAGAAGCAGAACAGTATTTCACTGGTTAGAGGAAGGAGACTTCAGAATTAAAGGCTCAGAGTTCAGTTCAGATTAAAGGTGCAGGGTGCTGGGGAAGTGAGGATGCTACAAAAAAGGAACCGAAGGGGCACCTGGGTAGCTCAGTCAGTTGAACATCCGACTTCTGCTCAGGTCACAATCTCACAGTTGGTGAGTTAGAGCCCCGCATCGGGCTCAGTGCTGACAGCTCAGAACCTGGAGCCTGCTTCAGATTCTGTGTCTCTCTCATGCTGCCCCTCCCCACTCGTGCTCTGTCTCTCTCAAGTAAGAAATAAATGTTAAAAATTTTTAAAAAGGAACCTAAGAATTCTGTGTGAAAACTCTCCTCAGGTCTTGGACAATTCTTGGTCATGTCAGAGCAGTAGCTAGGAAATTGGGTACAGAAAGAGTGTGCTTGAGAGATGTACCTGAAAGGAACTGAGGAAGGGAGGATTAGGCAGAAGGAAAAACTGACTCATAATGCAGTTGCAACTGAGGCCTCAGCCATACTTTAGATCTACTAGGACCATTGAAAATTGAACCAATTTGAGGAAAGGGGAGAGGCCTTAGTGCTCCCAGCTTAGCCCCCAGGTGGGGGCTTATCTTGGGTAGGACAGTTCCCTGAGGCACTTCCCAGAGAGGGACACAGCTATGAGCGGTCAGTCAGATACTTAAGCAGCTGGAGAATGGGTGCATTAACCCTAAGAGGAGATTTAGGGTGACATTAAAGTATCCACTGGAAGTTGCACTGATGATTTCTTCCAAACATTTAAGTAATAAATAATACTGATCTTACACAAACTCTTCCAGAAAATAAGAAAGGAGGGATTACTTCTCAACTCATTTTAGAAAGTCAACATAACCTTGACACCAAAACTAATAAGGACATTATAAGAAAGGAAAAGTATAGACCAATAGCTTTTATGAACAGACTCAAAATTCTAAATAAAATATAACCAAGTAGAATCCAGCAATATATAAAAATAAAACATCAGGGGGTGCCTGGGTGGTTCAATTGGTTAAGTGTCTGACTGCAGCTCACGTCATGATCTCACAGCTCGTAAGTTTGAGCCCTGCATCAGGTGGACTGTGCTGACAGCTCAGATCTTGGAGCCTACTTCGGATTCTGTGTTTCTGTCTCTCTCTGCCCCACCCCCACTCATTCTTGTTCTCTCTCTCTCTCTGTCTGTCTCTCAAAAAATGATTAACATTAAAAAAATAATTAAAAAAAAACATCATTACCAGTTAGGATGTATTCTAGGAATACAAGTTTGGTTTAACATTCTAAAATCAGGGTGATTATTAACAAAATAAAGGAGAAAATCCATAGATTCTATTTCAAAAAATGGAGAAAAAGCATTTTACAAAATGCAACATTCATTCACGCTTTAAAGTTTATTTATTTTTGAGAGAGAGATCACGAGTAGGGGAGGGACAGAGAGAGAGGGAGACACAGAATCTGAAACAGGCTCCAGGCTCTGAGCTGCCAGCACAGAGCCTGACGCAGGGCTCGAACTCATGAACCATGAGATCATGACGAGCCAAAGTCAGATGCTTAACCGACTGAGCCACCTAGGTGCCCCATTCATTCAAGCTTTCAAAAAATTCTCAGCAAATAAACATAAAAGGAAGATTTCTTAATCTGATATGAAGTATCTATCATATTCAATGGTAGAAACATTGAACATTTTCTCCCAAGGTCAGGAACAACAGAAGGATGTTCCCTCTCACCGTTTCTATTCAATATTGTACTGGAGGTCCAAGCCAATGCAAAAAGGCATGGCAAAGAAGTAGAAGATAAAAGATTAGAAAGAAATAAAGTATCTTTATAACAAATAAATGATATGATTGTATATGTAGAAAATCCAAAATAATTTACAAGCTATTGGAATTACTACATCTTAGTAAGATCACTGGCAAGAAGATCAATATATAAAATTCAATTTTGTGTATATATGTATATACATATATGTGTATATAGATGTATAACTTACATATATAATATATGATTATATATTATGTAATATATATAATATTATACATAATTAAAGATGAACTTCTTAAATACCATTTACAAAAGCATTAAAAAAATCACAAACCCAGGAATAAATGTAATGAAAAATGTGTAAGACCTCTACGCTGAAAATTATAAAATATTGCTAAGAGGAATTGAAGAAGACTTAAATATATGGAAAAATAATCTATGTTCAATATTGTTAAGATATCAGCTCTCCTCAAATTGATCTATAGATTCAATGCAATCCCAATCAAGTTCTCAGCAGATTTTGAAGACATCGTCCTCAAGGGTTGGTCAACTTACATTCCAGGTATTAAGGTTGACTATAAAGCTACAGTAATTGAGAGAGTATGTTGGTGCCGAGATAGGGAAATAGGCCAGTGGAACAGAATAAGAAGTCCAGACAAAGATGCATACAGTCAGTTGATTTTAAGATAAGGGTATTATTGCAATTTAGTGGGGAAAGTGGTTCTTTTCAGTACATAGTACTAGAGCAGTTGGTTACCTGTATGGAAAAAGAATGAGCCATGGCCTCCACGTCACACCATATATAAAAGTTAATTTTAGTGGATCATAGATCTATATATGAAAAGTAAAATAATAAACTGTCTAAAAGAAAACATAGGGGAAAAATCTTCATGTTCTTGAGGTTGGCAAAGATTTCTTTTTTTTTTTTAATTTTTTTTTTTAACGTTTATTTATTTTTTTGGGACAGAGAGACACAGAGCATGAACGGGGGAGGGGCAGAGAGAGAGGGAGACACAGAATCAGAAACAGGCTCCAGGCTCTGAGCCATCAGCCCAGAGCCCGACGCGGGGCTCGAACTCACGGACCGCGAGATCGTGACCTGGCTGAAGTCGGACGCTTAACCGACTGCGCCACCCAGGCGCCCCAAGCAAAGATTTCTTAAACTGGACATAAAAAACACTAATCATGAAAGATAAAATTAATAAATCTGGCTTTATAAAAATTAATTTCTGTCAATAAATGACACCAAGAAAGTGAATAAGCATGCCATACACTGGGAGAAGATATTCCCAGTGCATACATCTGACAAAGGATTCATGTCAAAATATATAAAGAACTCCCCACCCTCCCCACCCCCGCCAAATCAATAAAAAAGACAACCCAGTTACAAACTGGACAAAAACTTAAACTTTTGCAAAAGATCTCCAAATGTCCAATAAATCTATGAAGAGGTTTTCAACAACAGTTTTCACTGGGATTTGTAATTTAAATCCACAATGAGATATCACTACACACTCCTCCAGAATGGCTAAACTTTAGGACTGACGCTATCAAGGACAGTGATGATGTAGAGCAAGTAGAACTTTCACACATTACCGGTGGAAGTGTAAATTCATCCACCTAGAATTAGAAAACCATTTAGGGGTATCTGTTAAAGTTAACCACATTACTCAGCAATTATACTTCTAGATATCCTATCCAAGGCCTATGAGTGTCTGTGTTACCAAAAGACATGTGCAAGAATGTTCACAATAGTTTTCATAATGGCCAAAAATTGATCAATAGGAGGTTTATAAACAAATTGTAGTATAATTATACAATGGAATATTATATAGCAATTAAAAAGAATAAATTCGGGGCGCCTGGGTGGCTCAGTCGGTTAAGCGTCCGACTTCGGCTCAGGTCACGATCTCACTGTCCATGAGTTTGAGCCCCGCGTCGGGCTCTGTGCTTACTGCTCAGAACCTGGAGCCTGTTTCAGATTCTGTGTCTCCCTCTCTCTCTGACCCTCCCCCGTTCATGCTCTGTCTCTCCCTGTCTCAAAAATAAATAAAACGTTAAAAAAAATTTAAAAAAAAAAAGAATAAATTCAACAGCAAATATAAATCTCAAAAACATCATGTTGAATGAAGCCAAAACCAAACAGTATATACTGGATGAACTGTATGATTCTGTTTATAGAAGCCCAAGAATAGGCAACTAATTTATCATGATAGGAGTAGTAATTCTATTCAAAACAGTGTTTTTACTAAGGAATGAGAGAGAGAGAATTTTTTTTTTTTTTACTGAGAAGGGGAATGAGGAAATCTGGTGTAATGAAAATATTGTTTTGATTGAGACGGTAGATACACATTGCATAAATATGGTAAAATACAAGTAATATGTATGTGCCCAATTTCACATGTTGGGCAGTTTCCTCTCCTCACTCAGGGAGAAATTGGAGACTTTTTCTTTGGAGAATACAAAACAGAAGATCTCTGTATTCAGGGGCACCAAGTACAGATGAGGGAGGGACGCCATACCAAAAATTGGGGGATTAAGTAATCCTATGCATGCCAAATGCTGGCTCATGCCATTCTAGGTTCTTGTCCTCACTATGTTTCCTGAACTGAAAATTTACCTTCATGTCTCATTAGCCAGAGTTGTATCATACACTCAATCATAAGCTAATAAACAAGCTAGGGAATGTGCAGGATTGTTGTGGGAAGGACTCCCAAGAAGTCAGGACAACCATGATGGTGTCATCACCATCATCATTATCATCTTACCATACAGACTTGTCTGAATTGCCTATTGGACCAAAATTACACGAGTATTCCTGCAGCCATTATCCTGAGTACCTTCTCCAAACTGACAGAATTCTAGGTTAGGTCATGGAACAGCCACTGCAGGGACCAGGGCCTCCAGCCGCCTCCAACATACTGCTTCCTTTGTTCAGGATCCAAATTCCCAGAAGATTGCTTCTGATTTGGCTGAGCCTGAGTAGCATGCCAATACCCTGTTTTACAGGAGGAGGTAGCATCTGGCCACTTTGGCTTCCTTGGTGAAAATTGGGCACTACCTCCTTGACTCCTCACAATGACAATTTCCCGTCCAAGGAGGATGGTGTTCAGATGCTGTATAACTCCAAACAAATATTCATAACAGCAAAAAGTCATGAAATGGCTTTAACAAATCTTGAGCTAAAAATCTAATACAATTTCCCATTATTTATCCTTGAATTTCCCTGATGCCTCTTTGACTGGACAGTCTCATGTCTTTCTCTGCTCCAGTAGCACAGAGCTGTGAATCTCCTTGTGGTGATTCAATACACAGGCTGTTCCCAGTTTCTAAGAGTTCACAACCTCCCCCCACTTACCTGTCTTCTCTGGTACAAAGGACTGGTGTGTGATTTTGACTGTCTCTGCTGTAAGTTCTATCCCTTCAATCAATGGTCTCTGTTTAGCAAAGACTCAGTATAGCGGTTTGCATGTGTGTATAACAGAAAACAGGTTTGAACAGTTTTCCCCTTTAACAAAATCTCACTAGAGTACTATATGCTTTTGGATGTAGGGACCAATTCCTGCTGGAAAATATTGCAATATTAATTTGCAGTGAATGGTTAACATTGCCAAGCCAACTCCTTAATATTTCATAAAACAAAGTTTGTTTTGGATCCCCCTAAAAATCGGTGTTTCTTATTCTTGCAGGTCTCAGCAGCCCAACTTGTTTTGCATATGGTTGCATGTTTAATTAGTGGCCCTTCTGTAAGTGTCTGCAATTAGCACTGTGATGATTTATAAAATAACTTCTTTAAAGCTCCATTTAGCTAGCAGAACTGCACAATCAGGCATAATTAATTCATCATTAATAAATCATGGCTGATTAACTAATCTGTTTATTACCAACACATTACTGAACAGCTCCCACCTGAGCACAGCTAATTTTTCTATGCTGAACAAAACTGGAAGCTAATAAAAATCACCACCACCACAGCCCCTCCCAGACTGCACTAAGCAGCAAGTATATTGGTATGGTCAGAGATTTTGAAGCAATATACATCTTAAAGTGATGCAATCAAGTTGTATAGGCAGTTATGGCTTTGGAGGGAAGAAAGCAGTGGCTAAATGTGGAAGTCTGAAGACCAGTGATTCTCAAACTTCACTATACACAAGAATCACCTGGAGGGATTGTTAAAAACCAGATTTTTGGTCCCCACCTGCAAAGCTTCTGATTCAGTAGGTCTGGGATGGGGGCTGAGAATTTGCTTTTCTAACAATTGCACCCAGGTGATGCAGATGCTGCTTGTCCAGGGAGCACACTTGGAGAACCACACTTCTACCCTTTCTCAGATTCTGGGAATGACTCACAACTGCCATAAATCTCAATTCCTTTCTATAGATTTTAATAGTTTAAAGCAACAACAATAACAATAGCTTTCCATATTACTTATCTGTCCTTGCACTCACGTGCTATCTCAACTGGATTGATCATGTAAGAATTACTTTCTTTTATTTCTCTGCCCCCACAAAACCTAACAACCAAATTCTAGATGTAGAAACTCCAGACAAAATGCAGACATAGCACTCGGTATCTATGCCATACGAAGGCCCTAATCACAGACCAGCAAGAGTGCTCATTATCTTTTCATGAAAGAATGAGCCCGGTCTCCCCAGTTACAGTCCCTGGAGAGCTCGGTAAGCTCCCTCTCTAATCTCCTTTGCAGCTTGCCCCCCAGCTCTCTAACCCACCAGCTTCTAGCACAGTGTCTTATACACAGGAGACAGCAAATTGCTTTTTACCAGCCATGTCAGATTGCTGAACAGCAGATCTGACCTACAGGCTGCAAATTCAGATCCCAGCTGGGCATCTAACTTGCAGAATACATAGGAGCAACAGCAAGGGAGATTTCCACCCTGAAAAGAACTTGAAAAGAGGCAAATAAATAATCTACCCTCTGAGGGTTAAACCATAAAAAATATATAATAACAAAAATTTTAACGGCAAATCATAGAAAAGAAAAATGTCAACTTAAAGCGGTGGTTCTCAACCAGGGTGATGGATTTTGCTCAACATCGAGGATATTGGGCAATGTCTGACAACATTAAATAAATGGAATGGCTTTACTATAATCTGATCAAGGTGGAAAGACAGGGCTGGTCAGCGGAGACCCTGGGAAAGGTTGTTCGGGGAGACAACATCAGCAAGGCCCAGCCAAGTTGGATCTAGGAGAAAGGCTGAGCTGTGCTGTGAGGCAGGTAGCAGTGAACTCTTATCTCACACGTGCAGGCTAAAGTCATAGTGTCTTCCTAAAATACTGTAAAAAAAAAATCATAAGACAGGAAATAGACACATTACCTGTACATTCAATAACATTAAGTAATTTTTTTCTGTTTTTTTTTAATGCTGTAATGGTTTTCTATTGCCGTGTAACTATTACCATAAATTTAGTGGCTTAAAACAACACGTTTGTTGTTTCACTTTCTGTGGGTCAGGAGTCCAGGCATGGTTTAGCTGGGTTCTCTGCAAGGCTGATATCAAGGTGTTAGGAAGGGCTGGGTTCTCCACCTCATGGTCACTCAACTGAGCTGAAAGATCTGCTTCCAGGCCACTCAGGTTGTTGGCAGAATTCAGCTCCTTGCTGTTGTAGGACAGAGGGCTTCACTCTGGTCCTGGCTGTTGGCTAGAGGCTGTCCTCAGCTTCTAGAGGTTTCCCCACCGTGGTACCTTGCTTCCTCCAAGCCAGCAAGGGAGAAAGAGATTCCAGCAACACTGGCACAACAGCCTTATATAAGTAATATAACCATGGAATCATGTACATGTAATCGCATATATCCCAAAGTATCTTTGTCATACTTCCTTGGTTAGAAGCAAGTCATACTCAAAGGGAAGTGATTATACAAGGGCATGAACACACGGACACAGGAATCATGGGGTCACCTTAAGAGTCTGTGTACCATATCATTGATACTGGTATTGAAGTAACTTTTTTTTTAGTTTTAATTTTATTTATTTTTGAGAGAGAAAGACAGAGTGGGGGAGGGGCAGAGAGAGAGGGAGACAGAGAATCTGAGGCAGGCTCCGTGCTGTCAGCACGAGATCATAACCTGAGCTGAAGTCACAGCTCAGACACTTAACCAACTGAGCCACCCAGGTCCCCCAGAAATGAGATTTAATTTTAAATATACCATTTAAACTGTGAACCCCCCCCCAATTTTTTTTTTAATTTATATCCAAGTTACTTAGCA